AGCATTGAACAGGAGTCTGAGGGGTGGAGGTGGAGGAGGTGGAGTGGGGTTCTATTTTGGTTAGGGTATGGGTGGGCCTCACCAAACAACACAGAGAAGCATTAAATGTTGTTGAGACTGGCCTGGTGGTGGTGAAAGAATTCACCATCAGTCAGTGAGAGGGAGCAGAGTGAGATTTATTAAAAACAGTGCAAGGGAGCGGTAGGAAAGCAGGACGTTGGGAGCTGACTGCAGCTGCCACGGGGATTATAACGTGAGAGACGCATGTCCGCTTGCCACTGGCCAGAGGCCTTTCCACCTCTAGGGACTTCCTTATTGCCGGGAGTTTTCACTAGGAACTTCCTTATTGCCAGGAGCCCTGGTGACCTCCACATGCTGGGATTTGGAATACACTGTGGCAATGTGGAAAACCTTTCATGATACATTGTTAGACAGAAACCAAAGGCTATAAAATGGGATACTCGCTGTGGTTTTTAAAATGTTAAGTATATACATGCACTCATGAATATCAGGAATATAAAAACATGAAAACAACTTGTGTAAGAGCAGAATTATGGATGATTTTAGTATTATTTTATAATATTGTAGACTCTGGGCATATTTTCAGTTTTAGAAAGGAAGAATGTTTTAAGGTTTCTTAAGATTAATTTGAATTTGAAGGAAAGGTAGGGCAAGGGTACAGACAGTTCATGTTTGCTTGGGCTAAAATTCCCAATAACACCTCTCAAATATTTTAGTTGCAGTAATGAAAAATTTACTAATATCCTCGTTGTGGTCCTACACTTACACATGTAACACATACACTTGCTTGCTAGTCTAAAATTTCATATTACATCTGATTGTTTACTGGGGAAAATGGTTTGAGTGCAAAAAAAGTGAAAGCTGTTAGAATCAAAATGGAGCCACCTGTGTCAGTCCTAACACAAATAAAGCTGGAAAGTTAGGAAGAAAGGGTTCTTAAGGGTAAAATTCTTGCAGGAATTTTCTGAGACAACTGAAAAATTATTTATTGTAAAGGAGATGGAATCATGTCATTCCTGCTTCTGAGAACAGCTGTAGAGGCTGCGAATATGGAAATAAGCTGACCATGTGTGCATACTTGAGTTATCACATTGGGATTTGGGATATGACTATGTATCTAAGACTGACTAAAATAAAATGGTGTATCTTAATGCGCATGACATTTTTTTGTCCAAGAGATGTTAATGAATGACACAAAGTGTGACCTGGTATCCCTTGTAGAAGGTAGAAGAAATCCTCTACAACATAGAGTGACAGATCTGTAACCAATCCCAGAGATTGTTTTGGGAGATCAGGCTTGGACGCAGAATCAGTTGTCAATGTGTGCCACGAAGAATGTTTTTATAGCGTGGCGGAGCAAGGCGACTTCTGACTGGTTCATCTCCTTTGACGCTGCTTCAGAAGTTCTAGGCACTGAGCAACTGCCCTGTCACCAAAGGCATGGTTGGTGCTGTATTTGTTAGGAGCTCAAAAGTCCTGACTCTCTTGTATTTTTTCTCTCCAGCATATCATTTTTGGTAAAGTAAAATCTCAGCAATCACAAAGTTTTCTGGGTTTGGATTATCAGATTAAATAGAGCTCAGTCGTCTTACCCGGACTTTCTCTCCCTTCTTTCCTTTCTTCACTTTCCTTCCTTCCTTCATTTCTTCCTAGCTACCACTCTCCTTCCATCCCTCCATCCCTTCCTTCTTTCCATCAGTAATCACAGCAGTGCTAAAAGTAGAAATGCATTATATAATCAACAGGCTCCCTTACACAGCCAACTCTTCTATAATAATGTAATGCTGTTGAAAATGTTCAAGTTGCTTTGAAAACCACACTCATAGATGAAATAAAGCAGCTAGCCAGTCTGAGCAGTGAGTTCAGTTTTGACTATAAAAGGGAAGAGAGGGAGGCATCACACACTCTTTTTCCATTCCTTTCTTTCCCCTGGTAACTTTCCTGAGCTCCTGGCTGCGTTTGAATAGTTCTAGTTTTGTTTTGGCTGATGGTCTGGGCGCTCTGTGATTGTTTCGATACAGCATTGTAATTAAGAGGAATGTTTCTGGAGCCAGGGAGTTCCAATCCTGGTTCCCTGGTAACCTCGTACGAGTTATTGCACTTGTTTGTGGCTCACTTTTCTTGTGAGTAAAATAGTGATGTTACTTAAGGGTTTCTGGTGTGTGTGGGGGGGTGCTAATGTGAGTTAATATCTGTGACTTGACATGTATTATACTCATAAATAGAAACTCATATTTCTGTTTTCTCAAAGGTGCTCTTCAGGTTAGAGAGCATTCTCACATATTTAACCCCACAGAGAGGCATTGTAGTCAAAGTGTGTCATTGGGAAATGGCTTAGCACAAACCACCAGGGCCTTGGTCCGTTTGCCATGTTTATGCAGATCAGAGGCCCCACTGTTTCTTTCTGTATATATAACAGAGATAGAGTGCAAAATAAATAAATAAAAAGCTCTGTATGGTACACAAAAGGTGAGCTGTGCCTATGTGTCCCCCAGTAACTCAGTTTCCTCCCCATTGTTGGTGCTTACTCATGTGAATATTTACATATAGTAGTTTGTTGTAGCAATTAATAACAGAGAGAGAGAGAGACATGCTGTCCAATGAATGATGATATTTATTTCGGAATAGCATAGCACTACAACAGTACTAGTAGAGCATTGTAGTGTGAATATGTGTGCTATAGTAAGCTATGGGCACATTCAAAGAAGTTGAGATAAAGAAAAGTTTTTTCAGGCAAAAAGGAAGAGGATTACATCAGATATTTTGAAACAGTAATCTTTGGCCACAATGATGAGTAACTTGGGTGACATTAGTCTGAGGTTGAACAGAGTTGCTGGGCGGTTCTCCTTGTACAGTACTTTTTTAAAAGATTTTATTTATTTATTTATTTGACAGGTAGAGTTACAGACAGTGAGAGGGAAAAACAGAGAGAAAGGTCTTCTGTCCACTGGTTCACTCCCCAAATGGCCGCAATGGCTGGAGCTGTGCCAATCCGAAGCCAGGAGCCAGGAGCTTCTTCCAGGTCTCCCACGTGGGTGCAGGGGCCCAAGGACTTGGGCCATCTTCTACTGCTTTCCCAGGCCACAGCAGAGAGCTGGACTGGAAGAGCAGCAGCCGGGACTAGAACCAGTGCCCATATGGGATGCTAGGACCGCAAGTGGAAGATTAACCTACTGTGCCATGGCACCCACCCCTATTTTTTTTTTTTTTTAAGATTTATTTATTTATTTGAAAGGAAGAGGCAGAGAGAGAGAAAGATTGAGAGAGAGAGGTCTTCCATCCACTGGTTCACTCCCCCGATGGCCACAACAGCTGGAGCTGCAGTGATCCAAAGCCAGGAGCCAGGAGCTTCTTCCAGGTCTTCCCACGCAGATGCAGGGGCCCAAGGGCTTAGGCGATCTTCCACTGCTTTCCCAGGCCATAGCAGAGAGCTGCATCGGAAGTGGAGCAGCCGAGACTTGGACCGGCGCCCATATGGGACTGCAGGCAGCGGCTTTACCCGCTATGCCACAGTGACTGCCCCTGTAGAGTACTTCTTTATAAGGTCATGGTGGTCTCTGTAATGTTGTGGTTCTAGATACTACCAGGCAGCTATGAGTAAGAAAAGTCTTTCTTCATAACCTCCCAGCTTTATTTATTTTGGGGGGGGGGGGTTGACACAGGCAACTCCATTTTGGTTCTAACATTTTTTTTCATGCAAGCCATATTCCCCAGTAAAAAATCAGATGAAATATGAAACTTTAGACTAAAACTATATACATTATATGTATATACATTAAAGCTAGGGTCAGAATCAATGCTTCATTACTACAGCTAAGATACTCAAGAGGTGCTTCTTAGGAAGGCAGGAAGGGAAGTTTATTTGGGCTTACAGTTTTGGAGAGTCACAGTCCAAGACTGGGCAGCCCCGTTGGTCTGGTGAGGATAGTGGGTGGTGGAATGCATGTGGAGGGAGGGTGACGTGGTGAGCTGGGGAGCATGCTGGTCCTGCACATCCCTGGCTCTCTTCATAGAGCCACAATGCTTCCATTAACAGCCTCATCCAATCTAATCACTTTTCCGAAGCCCCATGTTCAGACACCATAATTCAGTGATGTTCTGTCCTCAATCCATTAACGGAAGATTATGGGGATCAAATCTTTAACACATGGCCCTTTGGAGACACCCAAACTATTTTCCAAACCATCACAATGGGAACTACAGAAAGGAGTTTAATACAGAGAATGAGAGATTTACAAATTTGCTGGAAGGTTGGAAGAGTAGGCTCTAGGATGGTCCTCTAGGAAGTTTCTAGAATCCTTCCACAAAAACCAGGCAGCTCCTTCCAGGCCAAGGAAGTTCAAAAACTACCCTTGCCACAGCAGCTCCCTGTCTATACCCATGATGCTGTTGTTTGAGCCCTGGGACACAGTGTTCAGACTCTGCCTCTCCAGTAATTGCTCCTGGACATCCCCAGGGCTGAAGACTGGAGCCTGCAGTTCTGCTGCCGAAGACTGCCATATCCGCACAACTTTGCTCGCCAGTAGAAAAGACCAGAGCAGCAGGAAACAGCCTCTGCCTCACTGCCCCTTCCACATCCCATGAAAAACGTGTCTGACCGAACGACTCCTCACGCGTGTCTGGTGATGGGGGACTCTGAGAACTGTAATGTTTGCCTTGTGGCCTTGAGCAGTAGAAAGTGAAGCTAAGAAGGGTGAGAAAGGAAGCTGGGTGCTCAACTAACGTTACTGGCACAGTATCCCTTGTTCTTAAAGAAAAGTCTGCCTTTGTGTATTGGCTTCTGCATTGTATTTCTTTTTTATGTTTCACTGGTCTTTTATTTTCTTTGAATAGTCTAGCAGAAGCCAAGTCCTTCTCCTCTGCCAGTTTTCTTCCTGCAGGACAAGACTTTCTTGGGCACAAGACAGCTCAAGCCTGGAAATTTGTGTAAACTGACAATGTGAGCCTTCGCTCTTCTTTCTTTCAGATTCCCACCCAGCATGGCTGCCATCTGACTGAGAGAATTTGTTGATCGGCGCCCAGTGGTCCCACCCAGGTAAGGTCCTCCCAGAGCTGAGGCAAGGCAGGCAGACTCCTGGGGATTTAGGATTTGTCTCCTTGCTGCCTCGTGACTGAGCCATGACTGCCACCAGAGTGTTCTAGGGAAGCTTCTTTAGGTTTAGGTAAAATTGCAAAAAAAAGAAATCCTACCCATAGTTCCGAATGCAAGCAAACAGGCAATTCTAAGTTCCCCTCAAAGATCGTAAAAACATTAGTTTCTCACAGGAAGAAGTATGAGGTGGGATCCACCTCAGATGGCATCCCTGTTCTCTGCTTGGGGTAAAACCAACCACCCCCATGCTTCTGTGACGTGAGGGCTGATGGCATAGACGTAAACAGAAACTTGAACTCTTTCTCCAAGTTCATGCACACCACAAGAACCACCAGCCCCAGACGTGTTTACTGTGCTGCATTCGTCTTGCTAAGAGACGTTAGGTGATCCACCGTGAATCCTAACCCCACTCTCTCTTCGCCCCCTGCTGTGAGCTCGGCAGGGATCTGCAAGTTGTGAGCTGTGGCAGCAACCCTCACACTGTGATTTTGAGGTCAGCCTCTTACAGCCCCATTGGCTTCGTGGATTTGAGCAAACCTCACAATTATTTTAGTATTTTAGCTATGACAACAATGTTTAGTCAACACAAAGTCCTTTTGCTCCCAGCAGTCTCTGAAGGAGAGTAGATGGAAGGATGCTTAAGAAGCCTTAAGAGGCCTCTTCTCAGAGAACGCACAGTGCCTCCCCTCCCTGAAATCCACAAGATCAGGGATTGCTTTCGGTATTCCCTGGTTCCCCCCATCCCCACAGCCCTTGGTCTGAGGGCTTGAGACCTGTGTTGGCTGCAGTGGGGTTGGTTTAACTATTGACCCCACATCTCCTGGGGCAAATGAAAACAAATCTGCCTCAGTTGCTGCTGCCTGGGGTTTGTCTGCACTGGGCCTGCTGGTGGCCTGCGGCTGGGCTGTGCTCAGTGCTCGTGTTCATCATCAGGGCCCCGTGAGCTGAGCCCCCCCCACCGCCATAGCCCAGCCCTCCCCCCGTCAGACTAGTGCCTCCACCCTCCCCTTGCAGGGATTTCCGCAGCGCTCGGGGGGAGGGGGGGAGCTCTTTGCCTCCCGTTGCCAACAGAGGATCTGGCCCATCAGCCCATCCCCTGGATTCCACCCCCAGGAGTGATCTCCCATCTGAAGGGTTGTTTCGGGTTCACTGCCCCCAAGTGCTCTAGATGGCCACTGCCTCTCTGTGCGTCTACAGCAGTGCCCACCCTTGTCCTCCAACAGTCCTTTTTCCAGCATGAGCTTCATGCAGTGTAACCTGGATCCTGTAAACCCTTCAACCCACGGCACTTAGCAGGAAACCCAGCCACGGGGCTGCAGCCCGCCTAGCGGGCAGCATCCCTCTCCAGCCTTCCCCAGCCCCAGCCCCTTGGCTTCCCTTTGATCCCTCAGAGGCCCAGCTTCTTCCCGACCTCAGGCCGTTGGAGGTCATCTTCCTTCTGCCTGGACAGCTCCCTTTGGCCTCCCTCCTGCCCCTGCGACCAGCTTCCTCTCTGTGTTGTTGCCAACTAGTCAGACGGCCCCTCCTTGACCACCCTGGCTATCCCACTCTGTTATTCCCTATCTTGTGCCCTTTTGGGGTTCCTTTACACCCCTTATCACAACTCCCAGTTATATGATTTGTTTATTTTCTACCTGTTTCACCTACTGGAATGATAACACTTGACACCGAGGCTGACCTTAGTGGGCACCAAGGATTATTCTAAAGGCACATGAACTCCTTTCATTTTCACAACAACTCTGAATTCTTGATGAGGAGACTAAGACATGGTGTGGTTAAGCAACTGCCCATAGATGTGGAAGCTGGACGGCTGGTCTGGCTCCACCGTCTCCAGGGTGGGCCCCCTCGGGCAGGGGCTGCTTGCCTCTTTCTGTAACTCACTATATGGCAACCTCTGCAGCACAAGGCTGGCTGTCTCTGCACAATTACTGAACACATCAAAATGATGACTGAGCGGAAGTTTCTGCTGTGTATTTGTGACTTAGTCTCCTGGTGATGGACAATACCTTGGCCTCCTCTCCAGCTGTTCTGCACAAGCAGTTAGCCAGTTCAGCCTTAAATGCCCAACTCTGGGGGTGATGCAGGGAAAACAGAATTAGGTACAAAGCAGTATAGGCATCTAATAAAGGTAGATATTAAGTGGTTCACAAGTAGTAGAGACCACATAAAATTCCCAAATTAATGATTATATCATATTCAAGTGTTAATGGGTGCCATGCCCAAGCCACACACCATTGGCTGGGTGTTGAGTTGGTTTGTGGAGAAAAATATCACTTCCAGTGGGTTGAACTCAGTGTGATGTGGAAGATGAAAGATACAGAATCTGTGCCAGATTTAGATGGAGTTTAAAAGTGTCCACTGGGGCAGTCTCTGAAAGACCCAGAGGCAGTGACAGGTCCGCTCATCCTGCCTTGAATGATGGCTACACCTAACATGGGGGCGTTTTGATGACCAAGTACGAGTGTCTCATTTATGCCCATGAGGTCATTAGCAGGGATGACAGTCTTAGTCCTGTCTTCTGATGAGGAAACTGAGGCTCCCTCCTTCTTTGAGGAGACAGTGTGGCTCATAGAGCCTGCCGATGAGGGCCGCGCTGGCGGTCTCCCAGCCCTGACCTTTAACCCCATCTCCTATACTCATCAGCTTGTGTCTCCAGCTCAGTCACTTATTTCCCCCTGGGCCTCAGCATGCTAATGGCAATGGCACCCACCCCATTGTTGCAGATGAGTTGCCTGAACAGGGTTTTCCTTATCAAAACAATGGGCAGAGAGTATTCTCAGGTGGGGAGAGAGGATTTGTCATCACTGTGCCTAGTGCTCCACATCCAGACCAGAACTGGCAACAAGTGTGTTGTTCACTGAACTGAAAGCATCTTTCCACTAAAATTGCCGTGTCTTTATCTCTTTTCCTATTCTTTTGGTATAACTTGTCTCCTTGCTGTCTGCCCACAAGTGGGACAATCAGAGATCATTCAGAGATAGCACTGGGGCAGGAGTTTGTCCTGGCTCTGAAGGCACTACTGGTGACACTTGCATCCTATATCAGAGTGTCTGGGTTTGATTCCTGACTCCAGCTTCCTGCTAGTGTGACCCTGGGAGGCACACTCAGGCAACTGGCTTCATGCCACCCACATAGGAGGCTTGGTTTGCCACCCTGGCTCCTGGCTATTGTGGGCTTTTGGGGCATGAACCAGTGGATTAGAAGATCTCTCTTCCTCTCAAATAAATAAATGAAAGAATTTTTTTTTAAGTGGCACTGAACTCTTGGGAAAAAAAAAAACTTTCTGTACACACATGGATGACTTAGAAAGCCAGCTTTGATTCATGTCTCTGGCACGGACAAGCTGGGTGATGTTTAGCAAGGCCACTTAACTTCTCTTAGCTTCTTTTTTTACTTTTCTAAAACCAGAAGTTAATCATCGTTATTTGCAAGAGGACTGAGGGGATAAAATGAGGTCAGTGCCTGGCAAAGCATGAGGCCCTGCATGGACTGCAGGGGAGAGATCTGCACAGTGTGCGGCGGCTGGGCGCTGGGCCAGGCTCTGCAGAGGAGCACACCCTGACCTGTCCTGTGCATATAGAACTTTGTCTGAGGCTAAGCCCAGATCCTGCTCTGGTTACAGTCACCCTCCCAGGGGACAGCATGGCTCGTGTGCGGACTGAAAGCATTACCTCAAAGAGCCAGGCTATCGGGGACATGGCAGAAATGCACGTGGAGTCTCACGTGCAGGACTGCCTGCTTCCCCCCTGGGGGATGATGAAAGAGGACCCCTGGAAGCCAGCTCCACGGGATTGACCTGAAGTCTGGGAGGGGGCTCCGCTGCTGAGTCTGGAGAGTGGACAGGCACAGGTGCTTTCATAGCTACTCATTCTCTCTCAAAAAAGTGATGTGATGAAGGCTGCATGGGAAAGCTGTCCCAAAGAGCCGCAGGCAAGGTTGGCTGTCCTCGCACTCCCACAAACTTCTTCATTGCTGTGTCCAGCTGGGACTCCTGCCTCCATGCATACAGGGTCCTGTGCACTCCAATCCTGCCAAAAGCTGCCCAGGGCCCTCTTGGGGGACTTCAGGTAAAGAGTGTTTTCTGGCACCCGTGAAGGGCTTCTTCATTCTCAGTGCGGCTTGTCCAGGCTGCTTCTGGGGAGCAGGGTTCAGTTAATGCACCTGTCCTCTGTGTGTGTTTTTTGGATGCGTGCCACTGAGGAATCTGTGGTCAGAATAGCCAAGAGCAAACAGAGCAGCTTCTGAGAAAACCCAGAGTCCTTTGCAAACGCCAGAGACTCTCACCAAGCTGGATCCTGGCCCCAGGGCGATCTCCTAGGTAGTGCTTTAGCAACTGGATGGGCGCCTAAGAAAGCTGCGGCTCGCAGTCCCTTGCATTCAGAAGTGCCATCCATGCCCTTTTTTTCTTTCTTTCTTTCTTTTTTTTTTTTTTTACCAATTCCTCCCTTTTCTTATGACTTAACCCTCCACTGTTATTTACCACTCAGGGCTCAGTCATATTATCCCAACCACTGGGCAGGCCCAGACAGCCTGTGGGTTTTCTGCCACATGTCCTGTCTGCACAGACGGAAACACAACCTGCCCCTGCTCAGCCTTGGCCTTTCTCAGCAGACAGGCCTGCCCACCATGGCCCCTACATGCTCGACTTCAAACCCACCCCTGCCCAGGTCGTGGCTTCTGTCATTCCATTCTCCTGGAATCCTCCTTCCCCACCTGGATTTGCCTGCCCCAATCCTCCCTGTGTCCCCTTGGTTCCTCAGGAAGGTCACTATTTTCACAGAAGGGCATTTCTGAAATCCAGGCCTGCTTTGTCAGCTGTGTGTGGCAGAACCTAGCAGAGTACAGAGACCTGCCCACCGAATTGAAGGCGTAATGTAAGTTTCCATTCATCATCCAAGACCTATTTAGTGAGCTGCTTTGTGCAAAACCATGTGCTAGTTTCTACTGACTGTTCCCTTTCCCGTCAAGTCTTATTTTTTTAACTTCCAAAGGCAGAGAGAGAGAGAAAGAGAAAGTGAGCTCCTCCTCCACTGGTTCACTCCCCAGATGCTCACAATAACCACAGCTTTGCTGGGGCTGAAGCTGGGAGACAGGAACCCAATCTGGATGTCCCACATGGGTGACAAGAGCTCAACAAGTGAGCTATCACGACTGCCTCCCAGGATCTGCATTAGCAGGAAACCTAGAGACAGGAACCAGAGGCAGGAATTGAACCCAGGGATGGGATGCAAGTGTCTTAACCACTAGGCTAAATACTCACCCTTTCTGTGAATTCTTAAGACATCTACTGAGTGCTCAGAATGTGTGGACAAGCCCAAAAATCCACTCTCTTTACATTTCTCAAGAGTACACTATGTCATCTCCACCTGAATTTCCATCACATAGTTCAGACCCTTATCATGTCCCACATAAAGTACTAGAGTCACTTCCTAACCTGTCTTACTGCTTCTAGTCAGATGGCCCTCACACTTGCTTCCCACCTTACCATCAGAGATCTTTCCATAGCATGTCCTTAACCTTAAAAAAATCTTACATTCCTTACCACCTACATCAATTAATGGTCCTCAACTTTCAGATACAACATCCCCTCTCTTAATTATGAACACTTTGTAATGTCTGTGCTACTCTTCTGAAATAAAATCTGTAAATAATATAATTCAACTACATGAAGAGTTCCTCTTCCAAGCTTACAAGTGTCTCATGCTTTGACATCATAGTGCTGCTTCATTTTATTTATTTATTTTAAAAGATTTATTTTATTTGAAAGGCAGAGCTACAGAGAGAAGAAGAGAGAGAGTTCTTTCATCTGTTGGCTTACTCCCCAAATGGCCGCAACAGCCGGGGCTGGGACAGGCCAAAGCCAGGAGTCAGAAGCCTCCTCAGGGTCTCCCACATGGGTGCCAGGGACCCAAGGACCTGGGTCATCCTCTGCTGCTTTCCTAGGTGCATTAGCAGGGAGCTGGGTTAAAAGTGGAGCAAGTGGACTCAAACCAGCACCCATATATGGGATGTTGGTGCTGCAGGCTGTGGCTTAACCTTCTATGTCACAGTGCTAACCCCTTGCTGCTTCATTTTCAGCTCCTTTATACTTATTACAAGTTTTAAACATCTCTAAAATTAATTTATTTTATTTGAAAGAGACAGGCAGACAGTGAGATCTCCCATCTGCTGGTTCACTCCTCAAATGTCCTCAATGGCCAGGGCCAGGCTAGGTCAAAGCCAGGAGCTGGGATTCAATCCAGGCCTCCCACATGGCTGGCAAGGACCCGAGTACTTGAGCCATTACCTGCTGCCTCCCAGGGTGCCTATCAGCAGAAAGCTCGAGTCAGGAGCAGAGCTGGAACTGAAAGCTAGGCACTCTGACCTGAGATACACACATCCCAAGTGGCTTCTTACCACTGCGCCAGGTAACTGTCCTCTTTTTAGTTTAAAAAAATTATTGTGAAATGTTGTCAACATATCAAAGTAAAAAAGTATACCGAGTCTCCACTTGTCCATTCCCATTTCAACAACTATCAACATGTGCCTCACGGGTTTTACATATCCTCATTTCTTTTTTCCCTAATATTTTGAACCTAATCCCTGCCTTGTTAAATATGAATCCTGAAAATAAATTACATTTTATTACAGATACTGGAGAGTGTGATGGGTAGAGGGAGGCCTGTAACTCTGGTATGGTGGAAGGTGTTTCATTATCAGTTTGAAAGATACAACCAGGAACTCGTTGCCAGGAACTGAGACAAAAACCAAATGCATTTTTTTTTTTATCCTAGCAGTTAGTATTCTATAGAGAAGGAGGTGTAGTCCTTGCTTTTTCTCACCATCTCACTTTCTCCACTAGTTTATTCATTGTCCATCAAGGAAAGGATCTCCAAGGCTATTATCCTGGGCAACTAGCAAGATACCATTTGGCCCATGGTGTGAAGAGAGCCTCCAGGTGAGACACAGCCCTAGATCTGAATTCTCAGGGAGCTCAGCAGAGCTACAGTGATGAAGGGGGAAACGAGGATACACCATTTAAATGATACCGTGATTACAACAAGCCTCATTTAGTGGGTAGAAAAGTTTTGGAAGAAAATAAACTGCGAAAAATATTTTTAATGAGTAGTACGATTATTAGCATTTTGCATTTTATTTTTAGATCTTTTTCTCTACTTCCCAGATTTGTTTCTAATGAGCAAATGAAATGTAGAATGTTATTAAATTATAAAATTTTAGACACACCCTAGATTTAGAATTTTGACTTGGTCAACTAACTTCACCTTCCAGAGACTCAGTTTCTTTCTGAGTAAATTGATGAATTTGGCCTTACAGTTTCGGCCCTTCTAGGTGTGGTTTTAACAAAAATAAAACAAAAACAAAAATGTAGCCACCTTCCAGAACATAGCACCCATTCAACATATGACTTAGCTACTCATAAATCTCATTTAATATTTTTCACATCTACAGCAACTTGGTTCACCTGTTTTACAGTTGGCATCACCTTTCATGGTGGGGTAGTATTCCTGTATGACTTTAACAGTTTGGTATCCTTGTCTACATAAATCCACATTTTTTTTACATGAGGATGGTTTCTACTCTTTGTTATCATAAAAACACTTTGATAAGCATTCTTAGACTTTGCTAATTTCTGGAATTGCTGGGATAAACTACACGTGCATGTTCAAGGTCTTAGTATCCATCGCCAAAGTGTTCTCAAACACATTGTGTGGTGAATGTACACAAGTGCACGGAGATATTTGGTCATTACATTTGCACCTATTAGAGTCATGCTGCAGGAAACTTGGGACTAATTTCAGCTCCATCAAACACCAAGACCCATGGTGGTATAGTCTGGTCAGAAGAATGCATTGGTTCCTTGGAAAAATCACCCTGGGACAGGGCACCAGGGAGATGTGGAATGCAGGAAGTGGCTGCGCATGGGCAGATGCAGAGATTTCCATGCCAGTCACCCCTGTGGTCTGTGATTTGGAAGGAGGAGGGATGGATGCTGAAGGGAACCAGAGAGGACCAAATTCCCTGGGCAATCTACTGCTGCTCTGCCAGTGCCAGCTTTCATTAGCCTCGCGGCCGCTCCCAGGGAATGAGTTTCAGCTTTCCTTGTAGCAGGCATTCAGGAAGCTATTTCTGTTTCCATTTAGACCACTCATAGACTTGGAAATGCCACCCAAGAGAGAAGGTCCGTATCGGCCTCAATTAGACCAACAGACACTCATTCGATATATTTGCTTCCGAAGACATTCAAGGCCTGCTGAACCATGGTATAAAGAAACCACTTACCAAAGAGACTATTCTCTGCCATTTTATAAGCTTGGTAAGTCAGACTAGCTGGCCTGGGCCCCACAGCAGCATCTCCTGTGGGCTTGCATCTCAGGGCCCATGTTTGGGGTGCGTCGGTTTGGGGGCAGGCATTGAGTGTGGGTGTGGATGCAGGAAGAACTCAGCCAACTGCCCCAAGGGCCCTCCCTCCCTTCTCTCAGAGCTCTGGCAGGGCAGGGTGGGGGGTGGGGGGGTCATGAGATGGTAGGGATGGAGAGGTGCACAGGTCCTTGCTAGGAGGCAAGCTCAGGTCTGAGCACTCTTCCCTGAGTGCCTCGTCCCATGCCACATCACTGGTGTGCCTGAGCACAGCATTGAGGGAGTTCGTTTTTGCTCCTGCATTTCCTGTTTTAAATGACTTCATGATAGTGACTTGTTATCTAAAGGCATGTGTCAGACACACCTCTCTGGGCTGGGACCAGGGCACCTGGTTGAGAGGACTCTGGGGTGTTCATGTGAAACCTAGTCCAGTAGTACTTGTGTTCCTGTAGTCGTGGGTGCTTGGTTAAACAAATGACTTCCCTTTCAGACTTACTGAGTACACACATCCCAGCTCTTGGGGTTCCCTATTCTGAGGCAGGCAGAACCCCCTCCCCAGCTCTCTGAGGAACGTGCTATTATTTTGCCCATTTTATGGCAGGGGAGGCCATGTCACAGAGATAGTTCAGTGACCAGCCCCAGGTTCACCACAGCAAGCAGGTGGAGATGCAAACTTCAGACCCAGGCCGTGTCATTCCCAAATGGCGCTCAGATGTCACAGTTCAGTGTCACCCACACCACTATCTAGCAGTTTGCTGTAAAGCAGACCACTTTATTTTTCCAAAGGAAGGAAGGAAAAGGAAGGAAGGAAAATGAACAGATAAAGAGTAGTGGGTGGGGCTGGCGCCGCGGCTCACTAGGCTAATCCTCCACCTAGCGGCGCCAGCACACCGGATTCTAGTCTCGGTCGGGGCGCCGGATTCTTTCCCGGTTGCCCCTCTTCCAGGCCAGCTCTCTGCTGTGGCCAGGGAAGGCAGTGGAGGATGGCCCAAGTGCTTGGGCCCTGCACCCCATGGGAGACCAGGAGAAGCACCTGGCTCCTGCCTTCGGATCAGCGCGGTGCGCTGGCTGCAGCACGCCGGCCGTGGCGGCCATTGGAGGGTGAACCAATGGCAAAAGGAAGACCTTTCTCTCTGTCTCTCTCTCTCACTATGCACTCTGCTTGTCAAAAAAAAAAAAAGAGTAGTGGGTGGGAAGGTTCTACTTTCCTTCTTTCCCTCCCAGAAGAAAGACCTGAGGTGTAGCGAGGCCGAGTGCCAGAGCAGGGCAGGGAGGAGATGGCCGGGGCAGATCTCGGCAGAGGGGAGCCAAGGAGGAACAGGCAGTAGATGAAGCCGAGGTGGGGATGGGACAGGCTGACAACAGGGGCTTGGGATAAGAGGTTGAAGCAGGGTAAAGCTGGGTTCTCGAACCCAAGGGAAGGTTGGACACAGAGAAGGGAGGGAGCTGAGGGACTGAGGGATGAGATGAAGGTCATTTAGGAAAGGAGGAGCTGGGAGAGAGTACAGGGAGCTAGAGGCTGGGGTCCAGGGGCCTCGGGAGGGCTGTGGCCAAAGAAGCTGGGAAATGGGTCAGGGAGAATCCTTTGGGCAGTATTCTCAGCCTCCATGAACCTGTTTGCTTCTTTGTAAAATGGAGACCCAAAGTCTATCTTGAGAATAGCTGTTAGGATTTAAAATATCCATCACATGCCTGGAACTGTGCTCAGCTGACATACTCATGCACACATGTACACATTCATTGTTGCAATCAGTTATCAAAGAGGGCAGTGTGATTAGCTCCAGGTCAGCAGAAGAGGAAACGAAGGCTTAGAGATGATAAAAGTCTATGCAGGCAGATTGCCGGTTAGTGCTAAGTCCAGGTCAGACCCAGCTGTGTCACACTCGAGCCCCTGCCCTTAAATGGAACCAGGAGCTTTCAGGGGAAACTCACATGGCAGAGCATCTGGAGCAAGAAAGCACAGAGCTAATCCAAAACGCAAAAGACAAAGTAAGGAGAATGCCACAGCACGTCACTTCTACAAGACTGCGGGTACCTCCGATAGAAATAATGGCTTTTGGCAGAAGAGATGTGGTCAAGTGGGGATCTACAGAAAATTGAAAATACAGTGCTGGATAGGGCAGGCTGGGCAACAGAAGATGAGGAACAGCTTTGGAGGATCCCCTACATAGTGAGGTATACGCCTGACCACTCTAGAGATCATTTATACAGAAACCGTCATTGCTGCATTCATTGAGTCATGGATTGAATGTATATTGGTCATCTGTTGCTGAGTGACAAATCACCCCAAAACCTAGTAGCTTAAACACTCAGAATTTTGTTTGTTTACTGAAACTTGAACAAGCTAATTCTTTTTGTGTGTGTACACATTTAGGGTTGTTGTGTTTTTTGTTTTTTTTTGGTTTTTTTTTTAGATTTATTTATTTATTTGAAAGTCAGAGTTACATAGAGAAGGAGAGGCAGAGAGAGAGGTCTTCCATCTGCTGGTTCACTCCCTAGTTGGCCACAATGGCTGGAGCTGTGCTAATCCGAAGCCAGGAGCCAGGAACTTCCTCTGGGTCTTCTGTGCAGGTGCAGGGGCCCAAGGACTTGGGCCATCTTCCACTGCTTTCCCAGGCCATAGCAGAGAGCTGGATCGGAAGTGGAGCAGCCGGGACTCAAACCGGTGGCCATATGGGATGCCAGCCCTGCAGCAGGCGGCTTTACCTGCAACGCCACAGCACCAGCCCCACATTTAATTTTACTGTAACAAAGCAACTTGCACACTTTTGACGTTTAAAACTGAGCATCATCTTTTTTTTCCAGTGAAACAAAATTTTAAAATAAACAGGAACAAAATTACAATAGAATGTCAATTCCAAATAAGATCCTTCAAGTTCTGCTGATTTTCCCATCGAGTGGCAGGGCTCAAGGCATCATTAGGAGAAAATTTTATTTTTCAAAGTGTCATCTTAAACTACATGGGTGTCCGTTAAACATCACAATTAAACATGCCAAAAGAGAAGCCATGTTGTCAAATGCCCACTTAACCCACCCAAACATCTCAAACCCACCCCTTGCTGACCTTCTATAACCCCATTTTTAAGGTGTTTTTTTTTTTCAACAAGAGGAAGTAGACAGATACATGTTGGTAAATCCTAACTGTCCGTATTCGCATAGACACAGTGTAATCTCTGAGCCCAATAACAGAGAAAGGAGGGGGAAGCTAGAGTTCTATGCACTGCTACACAGGCCTGGCACCCTCCAGCTTCCAGCGGAGCCGGGGGCAGGAGCGATTCTTTTTCCTGCAGAGCACGGTGGTGTTGATTCCATACAGTTTTTGTCGAGACAAGAGGAATAAAATGAATTTGGAATAGAAAGGGGTAGAGATTCTTTTCCCATTGTATTCTGCTTCAGGTATTTTCCCCACAACAAGTTGAGAACCATGGTGTAGAGAAAGAGACCTCCAAAACAGGGAGACTGAGCACAAGAGGGAAAAAAATAAAAATAAGAAGATGGCAACTTGCTCCCAGGGACTGGAGAGAATTAAAAAAAAAAAAGTTGGAATCCATCAGTGTTCCTATTAGTCATCTTCATCCTCCTCTCCTTCTTCCCCGTCATCATCATCTTCATCTTCTCCCCTTCATCCTCATCCCCGTCTTCATCAGTGTCTTCCAATCCTTCATCATCATCATCATCTTCTCCTTCCCCTTCTTCATCATCCATATCAGGACCCAAGTAGTACTGTAAGGGATCCGGCCAGACACCATCCTTGATGGCCTCTCCTACCTCGTCTGCACCTGCATCAGAATGGCCGGTGAGCCAGGTGAAGAAGCTCTGGCTCCTCCTGCTGCCTCCTGCTGGCTCCGTCCTGCGTTTGACTTGAACGTTTCGTCAGATCCTTTCCAGATTTCCATTTGATTTCAGGGGACTTTGAAGATGGGTCACCGTTCTCATTCAGATGAAATTCTATGGAGAGAACTTTATTTTCGAAGTAAAGATTTTCATCCAAATAAACTCTATTCTGTAGCCTGATTTAATATCTTCAAACTCTGTCACTTCAACCCTGGTCAGATAGTGCAGCGCCTCTTCACCCTCCTCCCCGAGCAGTGCAGACACTTGCGGATGGCTGACAGATGTTGTTACCCAGGGTAATTTTGGCAGTCGGTTCTGACCCCTTTTGAAAAAATGCATGGCGGAGTTTGTTATACTTCTGTTCTACTTTCAAAATCTCCTCACTGGCTTGTTCATTAAGTCTGTCTATTTTATTTTGTACTTCATCAATACACTCAGTTGCTTCTTGTTCTTTTTCTCCCGTTGACAAACCCCAAGAGGCCAATGTGTCCGCCGGCCTCAGGCCAGGAGCTGCTCTCAGCTTCTTGGTTTGCGGAAGGAGCAAAGACGGGCGTTTGGGGGCCATGCTCCCAGGAAACTCCTAGCCCCAGGGCCAGGCAGGAAGGAGCTCTGAGAACTGCTAATTCATTTTTTAAAAACACTTATTTTACTTATTTGAAAGGCTGGGTTACAGAGAGGGAGACAGACAGACAAACAGACAGATCTTCCATCCGCTGGTTCCCTCCCCAAGTGGTCACAACAGTTAAGGCTGAGCCAGGCCTAAGCCAAGAGCCTGGAACTCCTTCAGGATCTGTCACAGGAGTGGCAGGGGTCCAACTACTTGGGCCATTGTCTGCTGCTTTTCCTGGACCATTAACAGGGATCTGGATTGGAAGTGAAGCAGACAGGACTTGAACCTAGCACTCATATGGGATGCCAGTGTCACAAGTGGAGGCTTAACCCGCTGTGCCACAATGCCGGCCCCAAGATGATATTTTCTATCTCTCACAGTTTCTGTGGGTTAGGAACTCAAGAGCTGCTCAGCTCGGCAACTCGGGCCCAGGGTCTCTGAGAGGTTTCAGTCAGATGTCCGCGAGGGCTGCAGTTTCACCTGAAGGCTTGGCAGGGGCTGGAGAGGCCACCTCCCTGGCAGCTCACATGGTTTATTAAGCTGAAGCTGGGGGTCTCAGTGCCTCTCCGTGGGGCTGCTGGAACGTCCTCAGAACCCAGCAGTTAAATTCCCTTACAATGAACAAAGTCTTTTGAAGAGTCACACATTATCATCCTGCTGTATCCTACCATACATGGCCAGCCCTAGGGCAGTGGAGGAGAGAAGTACACAGGCCATGTACACCAGAGACAGGAACCACCGGGGTCCGCCTTGAAAGCTGGCACCCACAGTATGCTTCAGTCATTTACTGAGCACCATGCTGACCGAAACACTGGCCACTGACTAGGAACACAGTGATTGGGTAGATAAGACACCCACTTCTGCAGAGCTGACGTTCTGGTGAAGACACAGAGCATAATCAAGAATGCTGTTAAAACATTACAAATGGTGCTAGTGCTACAAGGAGATAAGCACAGTGGAGGAAGGTACTTCAAACAGAGCAGTCAGGGAAAACATCTTTATAATGTTAGCGGAGCCCTGAAGAGTGAGACTGAGTGATACAACAGCATTTCAGGTAAAAGGAGCAGTAAATGCAAAAGTCTGAAAGCTGGAGAGGACTTGACTTATTTAGGGAACAGAAGGGAAGCCGGGGGCGGGCGCTGTGGCACAGTAGGTTAAGCTACTGCCTTCAATGCTTGGCATCCCGTATGGGCACCGGTTTGAGTCCTGGCTGTTCCACTTTTGATCCAGCTCCCTGCTAATGTGCCTGGGAAAGCAGCAGCAGATGGCCTAAGTATCACCTATATGGAATACCTGGATAAAGCTCCTGACTCCTGACTTTGGCCTGGTCCAACCCCAGTGGTTGTGGCCATTTGGGCAGTGAACAAGGGGATGGAAGATTCCCTCTGTCACTCTGCCTTTTAAATTAATTAGAAGAAAGGGAGCCAGTATTGCTTGGTGGGTGGTGAGTGAGGGTGAGAGTGTTATGGTGATTGGATCCTATTCAAAGAGCAAGGACTCAGTGATAGAATAGGCACATTTTCACTCATTCATATTTATTCCTTCAGTAAATATTCTGAGAGCCCATTTAAATGCTTGTTGGTGTGCTAGGGTTTGGCGATATCAAAAAAGGAAAAAAATAGACACAAAATTTCTATACTCAAGGAGCTTCATAGAAATAATCGTCCATGGGACTCCAAATCCCATTAAGTTGGCATATACCAATGCCATCTTACAAGTTGAAGTGATCAATTTAAGTTCATAATTGATCATAAAGATAGGATTAAGAGTCAAAGGGATCACATAAATAAGACCAGTGTCTGCTAATAATAATTGATAGAATTAAAAAGGAGAGAATGACCCAACATGGGAAGTGGGATACATAGCAGACTCATAGAATGGCAAATGCCCTAAACAGCACTCTGGCCTCAGAATCAGCCCTTAAGGCATTCAGATCCGGCTAAAAAGCCCATGAGAGTTTCTCAGGCATGGAAAGCTAAGACACTGTGGCAAAAAAATGACCTAGATGAAAGATCTCTGTAAGTGAGATCCCAGTGGAAAGAATGGGCCATCAAAGAAGGATGTACCTTTCTCTGAAGGGAGGAGAGAACTTCCACTGTGATTATGGCCTTGTCTAAATAAAGTCGGAGTTTGTGAACTCAGAAGGCTTCCATAGCCTTGGCAGCACATGACAAGAGCCTCGGGTGATTACTGACGTCATAAACAAGAGTGTCAATTGTTAAATCAACAACAGGAGTCACTGTGCAGTTACTCCCCAGGTAGGCTCTCTGTCCGTAATATGTTGTACTATGTGAATTAACAATAAAACTAGTATTCAGACAATACTTTATACTTTGTGTGTCTGGCTGGGTGCAATCTGTTGAAATCTTTACTTCGTGTATATACTAAGTTGATCTTTTGTATATAAAGATAATTAAAAATGAATCTTGATGTGAATGGGATGGGAGAGGTAGTAGGAGATGGGATGGTTTGCAGGGGGAAGGGTGGTTATGGGGAGGGGGGAACCACTATAATCCAAAAGTTGTACTTTTGAAATTAAATCTAAAAAATTTTTTCTTAAAAAAAATGAAATAGTCACAAAATTCCACCTGTCATAAGTGCTCTGAAGCCCATTTGTGGGATCCCATGTTCATGGTAGATGGTATATCTAAATTAGCAATGATCTGTATTTCACATTCAACTCTCTGAGGTTTCTGACTTGGGAATTTAATGTAGACCCTGAGAAGCCCTGGTTGTTGCTCAAGAAACTGTTATCTAGTGAAAATTCTTTCCCAGCACATACAAGCTCACTTATCTATCTAGGAAGCATTTATTGAACACCAACTATGTGTAGGACACCAAAGAGGATCTGCAGAAGACTGACTTCAGAGAACTTAGAACCTGACAGGATGAGACAGCCCCTCAGAACTCCTGCCTACCTCATATGGTATCAAGTACTTCAAATAAATATGAGGAATCCTCAGAAAGTTCATGGAAAATGCATGCTATGAAAAAAACCATACATGATTATCAAAGGAATTTTTTTGCATTAAACTGAACTTATCTTTCTTTCCAGACTCTTTTTAAAGTAGCTCCATAGCCTTGAGCAGCAGGGTGACCCCTTAGGCTTTCTCAGCCTCAACTTCCACATCTGCAAAATGGATAAAAAAGAATATCTAATAGAATAGAGATATTCATATTAAGGATTTATGCATTTTGCCTACACCTAACATCAATAAGCCTTCAAAAAGTGTTACCTATGATTATTATTGCTCAAGAATAAATCCACACCGTTGTAAATATTTCTAAAAAGCTAGTACATGGAATTGCATCTTATAATGAGATTAGGTTCTAACACCAATGGATAAGGTAAAAAGAATCACAACCCAAGTTATCTTCACAATCTCTTAAGAGTGAGTGACATTAAATGCTATCAAACCACTAAAGTATTTGGAATACATGAAATTCTCAGTTTTGTTACAATGTTATCAGTGGAATACTCTGGTCTTTGGCTCACTGAACAATGACTGTATTCATTTCAAGCCCTCCTTGAACTCTTACCCTTTAGATAGGCAGAACTGTTACTGATTGTAGACAAGAGGCTGTAAGATATGAGGGAACTCCAAAGAGTATGAATTTTGGGATAGGAACAAGTTCAATTTGATACGAAGATGATACAAAATAGCCTCTTGTTGATGTAGGATTAAAATGGTTTGGGCCATGGTTCTTAAATACCACAGATTATTTATTACTTTGCACAATTAGTAAGCTTAAAATAAATGACAATTTGTTTTAAATTCCAGATTGGGACCAGAAATTGGCCACTATTGCATTGAATCCTCGACCACTTAATTCGCTGCCAGCACTCTGCAACTGTGAGGAAAGAAGTGGCTTTGAAAGAAGTGCTTTTAAGCCAAGATAACCATGAAGTTCAAACAAGCTCACATTTGGTCCCTTTGAGAAAGGCTGGAAGAATAATTAACAGCACAAAGTTTCTGTAGTGTCTGGGCATCCTTCCTTAAGAGCTTCTGGGCTTCATTCAAGGGGTTCTGGTTCTACAAACAGGCGCATAGTTGGGACTGATTGAGGGGGTCATGGCTGTCTGTTTTTATGATTTGAGTTGGGCTTTCAATTCCCTTGAGCTAGAACCAGACCTTTTCTGTTCATACAGGTCAAGTAAGAATCTGGTGGACTTCCTCTCTATTTCACTTCTAGAAACACCATGGTTAGCCAGCAATGCCCTTAGTCTTCATAAACCAAGACTATTTTGATTGCTACTTTAACTCTGTCACCAAGCAGGCTCACCTTGCCTTTGCAGGTGCAGTGCCACCATTTGGCCTGGCGACACCAGGTATCCAATTACTCCCAGTGCATTTAGGCTTTCTAGTTGAGCAGCAGTGGTTCCCACTCTAAGTTCTGGTCTACAGAGAAGAGCAATCACAGAGCTCTTCAAAGATGCTGGGACGTCTCTCACAAATACTTATTTTTCAAAGGATCAATGAAAGGGATGTCTTCTGGACCCTCCCTTTGTGTAGGAGTAGGTCTCAAATGACAAATCCAGTCCAGCATCCCAATCTCACTAAGCCTTTGAGCCTCTCCCTCTACATTAATCCAAGGCAGGTTGGGTTTTTCTAATTCATTCACAGTGGGCAACATTTTGATCCATTTCAGTTAACCAAATAGAGCCTGTTCTAACACCCTTAGCTGCAACATTAAATGCAGAAACTCTGCTTTCTAGAAGAGCCCTTATCCACAACTTACCCTCACCATTACCCCACATTCTTGATATCCATTCCCACGCATGTTCTCATGCTCTCCAGATTTCTGCTTATATAAATTAGAAAACTGCAGCAGCTTTTCTGGAGCGCAGCACACCTCTTCCTAGGTCACACCACATCACATCTGCTGGGACATGAGCCCAGTCTCAATTCTAGAAGCAAAGAAGGGTGGCCACGGTGAGTCCCAAGACCAGTCAGCACGTCTTGCACAGTAACTGTCTCAGGGAAACTGTTACCATTTTCTCAGGTGATGCAGGGTTAATGCCCTCAGATGGAGGTGGAAAAACTGATGCTACTATGGGTGTGGGGGCCGCTACCAACAGAGGTGGAGATGTCAACACCACTGGGTGGTGGGAAGGCCTTGGGCAAAACAACGTTCATTAAAATTAAGGGGCTCATGTCCTCAGCTTCACCAGGGTCTTTCTATACATTCCCATTCCAAATTTACGGAATTCCACTTTTTCCTAATCAATGCCTTTACTTTAACAGTAGATGCCTTGTGACGCTGGGAATCCTGCATGCATTGCATTTCAGCCAGTCACATGGTGAGGTTCTATATTTGATTTTCAGCAATTTCAGCAATATTAAGAACAACAAACCAACATTATATCCCTTACTTTTGTAAAATTATTTAAAAGTATCATAGAGAGTCACTGGGCTCCAGGCTTAAAAGCAGTTGTTTAGGAATACCCAATGCAGACATTTTGAATGTTGCTATAATAAACAGTTCATACCATGGATTATCAGTGCTCTCTTTACTACTGCAATAGAATCACTAGCAACCTCAAATCTAATCAGACTACAAATTTCAGAACCCCAGAATCAACTCAAAACACTTATCCTTAAAATTTTCTTCTTCTAGTATTACTACTCTTGGTACCTGATTCTGTATTGGTTAAGGTTCTCCAGAGAAATGAAACCAACAGGATGGATGGATATATGCAAAGAGATTTATTATGAGAGATGGGCTCACGTGATTTGGGAGGCCGAGAAGTCCCACAAGCTGCCATCTGCAACCTGGACGCTCAGGAACACTGGTGGTGTAGCTCCAGTCCCTGCCTGGAAGCCCGAGAGCCAGGGAGCCCATGGTCCCAGCTCAGCTTGGAAGACTGGAGAAGATGAATGTTCTTGCTCAAGCAAAGAGAACAAATTCCACCTTTCTTCTGCCTTACTCGGTCTCTCAATGGGTCAGATGATGCCCACTCACTCCGTGAGTGAGGGTGATCTTAGTCTACTGATCCAAATGCTAACTTTTCCAGAAACAGTGTACCCAGCTGACTGAGCACCCCTTATCCCAAAATGATAGGTTCTCTTAACCATCACATAATGATATAATTCGACTAAGGATGTAGCAAAATAATTACATCCACAAAACATGAAAAAGCAATCATCCTACAAGTTCTCACAAATCAATCACTGGAATTACAGTTCTGACAGAGGGGCCACTGCCTGCAGCACCTGCATCCTATATTGGAGTGCCGGTTTGAGTCCTGAAAGCTCTGCTTCTGGTCTCATGGCCTGGGAAGGCAGCAGAAGACAACCACTGCCACTCACGTGGGAGCCCTGGATGGAGTTCCTGGCTCCTAGCCTTGGCCTGGCCCAGTCGCGACCATTGCAGCCATTTGGGGAGTGAACTGGCAGATTGAAGAGCGCTCTCTCTAACTCTGCCTTTCAAATAAATTTTAAAAATGAATCTTTAAAAAATGTTTGAAAGAGAGTAGTATATCAAGAGGTCCATCTTCTCATTAATCAGCATTCTAGATAGAACAGAGAAAGAGTAGAAGAAATTAAAGGAGACATTTTTAGAGAGCTAAATACCAAAAGCCCCAAATGAAAGGGCCAGTGCTATTGCCTAGCATGCACAAAATATGAAAACTAAAAAAGGAGCCAACTTTTGGTTCCACGTTTTTTTTTTCCTATTCTCTTGTTTATCCCCTATTTTGATTTCCTTCCATCAGCTTTATGCCCAGTTTTCTTTTTTATAGTTCCTTAAGTTGCACTTTTTTATTTCTATAAACGTCCTTCTGAACACCATCTTTGCTGCACCCATAAGTTTCAGTGTGTTCCATCACTGTTTTCATTCATCTGAATACTTTCTGATTTCCTTTTATCCACTGGTTAAGATTGTACTGTTTAATTCCCACTCATCTGTGAGCTTTCCAGTTTTCTTTGTTATTGAATTCTAGCTTCATTTTATGTGGTCTGATAGTTTGTATGATCTCATTATCCTTGAGACTTTGTGACCTCACAGCAACATAAGGCCTAGATAATGCTCCCCAGGCACTTGAGAATGAATATTCTGCTATTGTTGGATGAAGTCTTCTACTAACGCCTGTTAGTTCTGACTTAACGTTCCTCAATTCCTCTATTTCCTTATTGATCTTGTCTAAATATTCACTGCATTATTACAGTGGGGTACTAAAGTTTCCAACTATTATTGTAGAACTAGTTCTCTTTTCATACCTGTTGATGCTTAATTCATATATTTGGGGGCTGTGAGTGCACGCTTATACCTGTGACATCTTCATGAGCCGACCTTGTTATCAATACTTAATTCCCTTTTTTTTTTGTTAACAGTTTTTGACTTAAAGTCCACTTTTGTGTGATACCCTTTAACATCTTTACACTTTCAACCTACTCAACTAATGTGCTTTAAGATACCATACAGGTGGATCATTTTTAAAAAATCTATTCTCCTGGGGCAGGCGCTGTGGCGCAGCAGGTTAAAGCCCTGGCCTGAAGCGCCGGCATCCAATATGGGCACCGGTTCTAGTCCCAGCTGCTCCTCTTCCGATCCTGCTTTCTGCGATGGCCTGGGAAAGCAGTGCAAGAAGGCCCAAGTCTTTAGGCCCCTGCACCCACGTGGGAGACCCAGAAGCTCCTGGCTTCTGGCTTTGGGTAGACGCAGCTCCAGCTGTTGCGGCCGTCTGGGGAGTGAACCAGCAGATGTAAGACTTCTCTCTCTGTCTCTACCTCTCTGTAATTCTTTCAAATAAATAAAATAAATCTTTTAAAAAAATCTATTCTCCCAATATTTCTTCTGGAGATTTTAATCCATTTACACTAAAGTAATTGCTAATAAGGATTCACTTCCACCATCGAACTATTTGTTATCTGCATGCCATCCCTTTTTCCATTATTGCCTTTTCTGTTCTGTTGATTTTTGTGCTGCTCTGTTTGAATTTACTTATAAAATCCTTCTGTAGACTGCTAGATATTTTCCTTATTGCTACCAAGATTAAATTTGTAATAATGCAGCTTTAGATGATAGCCAACTTCAGTTACAAAAACTTTCCTATCCAGTTGTCCTATCCCACCCTTATATTGTCACACTGTCACAAATTACATTTTTAAATGGAATATTTAATAATGTAAATTTATAATTATGTATGTCTAAATTTAAACCATGTAAGAAATGAAGAGTAGAGTTACAAACCAAAAACAGGGGCTGCTAGTAGTTACCTTTACTAGAAATCTGTCTTTTCATTCATCCTGTCTGCAGGGGAAGATGGACAAGTTGTCATGTTTTTGTTGTTTCACATTTGTTTGTAGATTGTCTGACACATTTTTCGCTCATTTTTATATTACATATTTTCTTCTTTGTATAATGTTATATTGAAATATTTTTTCCAAGTTTTTTTGATTTTGAAGGTTTTTTTGGAAACTATGTAAATCTTAATTTGGTCGAATCTGTTCATTTTTTCCCCCTTAGCGTTCCTGAGTTTCCTGTTTTTCTTCAGAAATCTTTCCTTAAGATTACATATTTCCTTATATTCATTTTCATCACTTAAAATTTATTTTTATTCTACCTGGAATTCATGTTGAGATTGTTCTCTTCCAGAATAATAAGTTGTATACTGTGATTTTTCTTCTTTAAAAAATGTATTTGAAGGGCAGAAAGAGGGAGTAACAGAGAGAGAAAAAAAGAGATTTTCCATCTACTGGTTCACTCTCCAAGTGCACACAGTAGCCAGGGTTGGGCCATGCTGAGGCCGAGAGCTCACATCTCAATCTGGATCTCTCCCACAGGTCACAGGAACCCATCACCTGCTGCCTCCCAGAGTGTGCATTAGCAGGAAGCTGGAACTGAGGGGAACCAAGACGCAGGCCCAGGCAGTCCAATTTGGGAGCAGGTTTCCCAAGCAGAGTTCTATCTGCTGCAAATACCAGCTCCCACTATTTTTTTTTTTTTTTTTTTTTTTTTACTTATTATTTTCT